ACTTTTTAATAAATTCTATTTCACTTGAAGTGAAAACAAATATAGAATGCCGCGTCCTGGTGTTCTCGAACCACCAACCTTTCGGATAACAGCCGAACGCGCTATCAGATTGCGACACGGATTCTGCGGTTGTCGCGGATATACAATTAATCTTAATAGAAAACATCAACTTTCTAATAAATTGTACTTCACTTTAAGGAAAACATATATAGAATGCCGCCCCCCCCGGGCGGGCTGGAACCACCAGCCCCTCGGTTAACAGCCAAAAGCTTTAGCCGATGGCACCTCGGAAGCTTCGTGTGTTTCTGAAGAATAATTAACCTGAATAGAAAAGATCAACTTTTGAGTAAATTTTATTTAACTTGAGGGAAAAACAAATATAGAATGCCGCCCCCCGGGCAGGCTCGAAACAGAAGCAATTCGGTCAACAACCGATTGCGGCACGGAGGTTTCAGGTGTTTCTAAAGAACAATTAATCTGAACAGAAAAGATCCACTTTTTAATACATTGTATTTCACTTTAAGGAAAAACAAATATAGAATTCTGCCCACAATGGGCTCGAACCACCAACCATTCAGTTGACAGCCGAACGCGATTGCCGATTGCGCCACGGAGGCTTCGTGTGTTTCTGAAGAATAATTAATCTGTACAGAAAAAAAAGATCCACTTTTTAATAAATTCTATTTCACTTGAAGGAAAAGCAAATATAGTATGAGCCCCCGGTGGGCTCGAACAACAGACCATTCTTTCAACAGCCGAACGCGCTAGCCGATTGCGACACGGAGGCTTCATGTGTTTCTGAAGAACAATTAATATCAACAGAAAAGATCCACTTTTTAGTAAATTCTAATCCTCTTGAAGGAAAAACAAATATAGAATGCCGCCCCCAGGTGGGCTCGAACAACCAACCTTTCGTTTAACAGCCGTACGCGCTTGCCGATTGCGACACGTTGGCTTCGTGTATTGCTGATGAACAATTTACCATAACCTAAAATATCCACTTTTAAATAAATTCTATTTCACATGAGGAAGACGAATATAGTATGACGCCCCCGGTGGACTCGAACAAACAATCATTCTGTCAACAGCCGAACGCGCTAGCAGATTGCGCCACGGATGCTTCGCGTGTTTCTGAAGAACAATTATTT